TGCCACTGTTGTAGAATGAGACTGGGACAAATGCTATATGGTGCCACTGTTGTAGAATGAGGCTGGGACAAATGCTATATGGTGCCACTGTTGTAGAATGAGGCTGGCATCGGGGTGGGGGTAAGACTGAGAAAAACTGCACTTTTTTTTTTTAATAGCACATTTCAGGGCATGTAGTAAGCATTCAAAAATATTTGTTAATTTTAATTATATGTGTATTAATTTACATGTTAATGCTACTTTATCTTTACTTGCATAAAGCTTGAAGCGGTTACATGAAACTCATTTTCTTTGGATGTATTATTAAATTTAATACCTAACTGAATAGTTGCCCAAATATATATAATGAGAGAAAGTAGGAAGAAATTCACTTGAACATATGACTATAATTTGGCTCATATCAATGAAGCATGTAGTTATTTAACATTGGTCTTTTGATGCTGTATATGCAGCACTGAGTTACTAAACTAAAGGTCAGCAGTTCAAACCCACAAACTGCTGAATCAGAGACTTGTGAGATTATCTGTTCTCAAAAAAAATGTAAAGCCTCAGAAACCTTATACTCTATCTTATAGGGTCACTATCAATTTGAATAAATTTAATGTCAATGAAAAAATGGGAATCATTTAAAAGATTTTGGTTATGCTGAAAGCAGAGTACCAGAAGAATATCTGTCTGTGTTTCATTGACTGTGCTAAGGCATTTGATTGTGTAGATCACAACAAATTTTGGCTAACCTTGAGAAGAACAGGAATTCTAGAAAATTTAATTGTGTTTATGTGAAACTGATACTTTTACCTGGAGGCACTTGTCAGAACGGATCAGGGAAACACTGCGTATGCCTGGGATGTATCCTATGTCCCTACCTTTCAATCTATATGTGGAACAGATCATTCTGGAGGCTGGACTTTATGAAGTTTAATGTGGCATTAGGATTGGAAAAGACTCATCAACAACCTGAGTTATGTAAATGATAGAGCATTGCTTGTTGAAACTGAGGAGGACATGAAGAGTTTGCTGCCAAGGGTCAAGGGCTGCAGCCTTCAATATGGATTGAAGCTCAACATCAAGAAAACAAAGATTCTCACCACTGTGCCAATTGGCAGCATCATGATAGATAAGAGATTGAGATTGTTAACAGCTTCAGCTTGTTTGGCTGACAGTCAACATTCTTTTGTTACTAATAGCCAGAAAATCAAAAGACAAAAATGCATTTGGAAAATCTACTGGCAGGAACCTCTCTGGAGTAGTGAAGAGCAACGATGTCATTCTAGAGATTAAACTATACCTGATTCAAGTCATGTCTTGACAATTACTTGCTATGCCTCAGAGAGCTGGACAATGACTACGGATGATAGAAGAAAAACTGATGCCTTTGAGTTGTCATGCTCAAGATTTAGCATACCATAGACTGCAAAGAGAACAAACAAATCTGTCCTAGAGAGGGTGGATCCAGGATGCTCCTGGAAGGCAAAGATTTTTAAGCTCCAACTATCATGTTTGAGCATGTGGCCTTGTAGAAGGACATCATGCTTGGAAAGGTGGAGGGACAGCAAAGGGGAGGAGAAGACCCTAGATCAGATGAATTAACAAAGAAACTGGAATAATGGGGGTAAATGTGTCAGACAGTGAGATTAGCTCAGGATAGAACAGAGTTCAGAGCAATTACATAGTGTAACTTATAGGATCACTATGAGTCACAAGCAACTTGATGGCACATAGCTAAGACTACCACCACCACCACAGTAATTAATACTTATCATTGATCCTTTCTTAAATTTCCATACATTCAAGTGATAAATAAATAGAATTTATAATATAAATTATATTTTTAATTTGTAAGCATAAGACTTCTGATAATTTTGTGCTACAAATATATTTGAGTATTTTAAGTTACAAAATACTTTATCACATTTTTTTTAAATGAACATTTACAGAGATTTTGGATTTTCATTCATTGTTGCACTTTTTTCTTTACACTCCCCGCCCCCCCAGTTCACTCCTCTCTTTGAAAAGCAAAGATAAACTTCTTCATTGGTATACAATCTCCCTGCTCCCACCCTGAATGCACTCTGCTATGCAACCTTAATTCTGGATTCCTGTGATAATCATAATATGCTATCATTTATCACCTTTAAACTCTGCTCCCTCATCTGTTTCAATTCAGTATACATAATATATCCAGTTTTTCTCAGTCTTACTCCAACCCTGATGTCAGTCTCTTTCTACAACAGGGGTCCCATGCAGTATTTGTCCTTTTGTGATTGAGGTACTTCACTCAGCATAATGTCCTCCAGGATCACCCATTTTGAATAATATTGCATGAGTTCCTTGTTTTTCAATGCAGGGTAGTATTCATATTTTTTTCATATTGTTACTGATGATTAATAAAATGTTGAAGAGGCCAGAAGACTGAGACTATGAAAAGGATGATTTTAAACCATCTTTTTCTAAGCATTAGAAATTTTAGTTAAAAATACACATGGACAGACAGATAGATGGTTAGGAACATCTAATTTCTGATTGTTATGTATGCTTTTGGAAATTCTGAAAAATTTATAGGAAGAAGAAAAGTTTCAACTAAATTGTGTAGCCCGTCATCAGTTTATGATGTCATCATTGTTATGATTCACATAAAAATGCCAGTCCTCACAATTAATTCTATGCCTAAAACTGCAGTGGAGAAAACAGGAATAAGATAGTAAGGAATTTTGTCTTGTTTTCTTTCAGCATTGGTTTACTGAACTGCCCCCTGTGTTAACATTTGAACTGTCAAGATTTGAATTTAATCAGGCATTGGGAAGACCAGAAAAAATTCACAACAAATTAGAATTTCCTCAAGTTTTATATCTGGACAGGTATGGTTGGATATACAGTATGGCTTAGTTTTGAAACAGCTTAGTACTAGATGAAGAATTAGTGTGTTTAAATATAAATATGATATAACTTTCTTAGAATTGATTTTTTTCATAGTATATCTAATATCCTTTGTCAAGGGAAATAAAGTTTTCTTTATAGTAGAGAAGTGTAGGTATTTAATGTTAAGAATAAATGAAAAAATCATTCTACCAGTGTTTTAATGTCCATTAGAATTAATAAATTACTTTATATATCTAATAATTGATTTATAAAATTTTGAATGCAACAATGCCTAAATTGTATATTATACCATCTCTCAATAGATTTAGACATACTAATTGTTTTCTTTTTCTCTGATAGATACATGCATAGAAACAGAGAAATAACAAGAATTAAGAGAGAAGAGATCAAGAGACTTAAAGATTACCTCACAGTATTACAGCAAAGACTAGAAAGGTATTTTAATAGTTAAGAAATCATAGCCATAAGAAAATCATGTATTTAGTGACTATCCAGACCTTCTCTTTAAACTTTTGATTATAAAAAATATAACCAATTGGCTTCAGAATATTCTTTAATGCTTAAGATAGAAGACCCTCAATGAGATGAATTGATTCTGTGATTGGGGTGGTGGGAATGAGTGTGTCAGAGATGGTGAGGTTGGCACAGGATAGAGCAGCGCTTAGGGCTCTTGTACATAGGATCGCTATGAGTCCCAAGCGACTTGATAGCACATAACATCAACAACATTAGAGCACACACTTGATAATGCTGAAAATAGATGTAAAGTTAAGCTTATCTAGTGTAAAGCTAACCTGATACATAAGACTTTTGAGACTTCTGTTAAAATCAATGGAGACTGAACTTTTTTCCTTAATATGAAGATGCAAGCCTCACAAAAACTTTAGAAAGGAGATAAAGGGATGTAGCCTGGAGAGTATATTCCTATGTAAGAGGTAGTAATGTCCACCTGACAACAGTAAAGTAGCCAGCTATTACAACTCACTGCCATGTAGAACTTTTATTTCTAAAAGAAGCCAAAATACACATTGCCTGCCATCTGTTCTACAAATCAAACAAAAGTTTAAAGGATTAAATGTGGTCTGAGAGATTACTTTTGGCAGCCTCTGATAATCTCATTTATATTCCTTTAAGTTTTATTTTGAAAATGACAAAAAAGCATGAAACTTCCTATTCAAAACAATACAACATCTTACTCTTGGCAAATTTTTTACTTAAAAGTATTAGTAATCATATTGAGAAGTTAAAGGTAGAGGTAGTAAATTATTTGGGGATTATATAACATCTAGAAATAAATATAGTAGTCTTCTGAGAAAAGTACTGTTAGTTTTCCTATTGAGTTACATACAACTTAGAAAAGCATTTTAAAATATTAACAGTATATGAACACATACAATCTTAATCAGCTTTGGTTTTCTTCCTTTTCAGAACATTTATTTGAAAGCAAAATCAATTTAATTGTTGAGGAAGATTTGTTGACCTATTTTCACCATATTTTAGAACTCTTAATTGAAAAAAGTTGTGCTATATATGCATATAAAAGCATTCATACATTTTATGGTTAACAGATATTTAAGCTATGGTTCGGGTCCTAAACGATTCCCCTTGGTAGATGTTCTACAGTATGCATTGGAATTTGCCTCAAGTAAACCTGTTTGTACTTCTCCTGTTGATGATATTGATGCTAGTTCCCCATCTAGTGGTCCCATACCATCACAGACATTACCAAGGTAAACGTTTTCTTGTTGCAAGAGACAACTATGTTACCTGTGTTATAAAGTACCATAATTGATTATCCTTTAAAGGTCTTAAAATATATGTTGTAGTTTATTTTAAATTATTTTTAAGAAGAATGATTCACTTAAAAATTGCATGACTTCTAGATATTTCATTTATTAATTTTTATGGTTGTAGAGTTAAATTTTCATTTTATGTTTTTATCTCTTCATAATACTATATTAATTAGACTTGATATATAATTAAATGAATGTCAAACTAGTTTCCATAATAAAAACATAATTTTGATCTTGTAATAATGTAGTCCTTATATATTAAGAATCTCATTAAGATATTTATAATAACCCATGTATTGTCTTTTTTTAAACAATTTTAAATTGTGATTTGCATGAAAGTTTGCAAAATATATTGGTTGTTTATTCAGTACATTATTAATCTACTATTGTGTATTGCCTGTTCTTCAGTAATCTTTTTAAGTGTCAATTACCTATTTACCTACCTTTCTTTCCTTTCCTTTTCCATCTGTGGTAACAATCCTATATCTTTAAGCCTTTTTATAGCTTTTGTATAATAGTGTTTTTAAACAATATTTGCTTTTAACTGACTTATTTTACCCATTATCATGTCATAATTCCATGTGTGTTATGCAGTTTCTTGGATTCTTTATTGTTTCCTAATGTTGCCTAGTTTTCTCTATGTGAATGTACCAAAGTTTCTTGTCTGTCTGTTGAAAACACTTGAATTGTTTTCATCTCTTTATTATTATAAGTTATACCATAATAAACATGGATGTGCATATATCTGTTCATGATATAGGTCTTAATTCTTAAGAATTTGTTCAAATTTATATTTGAATTTTGTAAATAAACTAGGAGAAAAAAAGGAATATATTCATAGAAACAGACTGATATTTCACTTTTCGACTTAAGGAAGCATCAAATTGCTTTCTGTACTGCTTAAACCATTTTGCATTTTCACCAGCAATGTATGAGAGTTCCAATCTCTCCACACTCTCACTAGCATTTGTTTTTCCCTTTCCTACTGAACTTTGCTGTTGCTGCTGGGTTGAAATAGTATCTCAATTATTTATTTGCATTTTCCTTATAGCTCATCATTGTAGTATAACAAAATATGTGAAGAGCTAGAGTTAGAAAATAAAAAGGGAAGAATTCATTGAATTTGTTTGGCATTTCTCAAGCTGAAAGAATTGAAAAAACAAAATCAAGCTCCAACTTGCAGTACTGAGATATGCCATTGACAAAATCTTTAGTGATCCAGGTTAGCATTAAAGGAAAATATAAAAAAATACACAGAATTACTGTACCAAAAAGAGTTGATCAACTCTGAAAAATTTCAGAGGAACCATATGAACATGAGCCAGTGGTAACAAAGGAAGAAATTCATGCTGTACTGAAGATACTGGCAAAAAATAAGACCACAGGAGTAGATGGGTTACCGATTGACGTGTTTCAACTAATAGATGCAATCCTGAATGTAGTCAGTAGTCTGTGCCAGGAAGTTTAGACGATAGCTGCCTGGCTGGCTGACTGGAAGAGATTTATGTTTATTCTAGTTCCCAAGAAAGATGATCCAACAGTATGTAGAAATTATTGAATAATATCATTAGTACCAAATGCAAGCAAAATATTGTTAAAGATCATCCAAAATTGCTGAAGAGTATATTACGGGAAACTGCTGGATGTACAAACTGAGTTTAGAAAAGGCTGTGAAACCAGGTATATCATTACTAATGTTAAATGAATCCTGGCTGAAAGCAAGAATACCAGAAAAAATGTCCATTTGTCAAATGCATTTGACTGTATAGACCACAATAAATTATGACTAACATTGAGAAAAATGAGATTCTGAAAACACTAAAATTATGTTCATTCAAAATCTAGGTCAAGAAGCTATTGTTCAAATGGAACAAGGGAACAATGTATGATTAAAATCAGAAATGGTGTGTGTTAGGGTTGTATCTTTTCTCCATACCTAGAAGAAGCTTTTCCTTAGAAAGGGATATCATGTGTGAAAAGAAGAAAGGTCAATGAATGAGATGAAGACTCTCAACTACAGAATTGACAGTGGCTAAAGCAATGGGCTCAAGTGTATCAGAGATGGTGAGGCTAGCACAAGAGAAAACAGGATTCAGAGCTGTTGTTTGTTGGGTTGCTATGAGACATACTATATTCAACAGCACATACCAACAATAGTGATTGTGAACTTTTCTTCATATGCTTGTTGGCGGCCATCTAAATGTCTCTTGAGGAAATGTCTTTTCGTGTCCTCTACCAATTTGATTTTCTTTGTGGGTTAGAGTTTCTTATCAGTTTTAGAGATCTCTAAATCTTTTTAGGATCTCTAATTTTTCTGTATGCATAAGGTTTTATTTTATAGAAAATTGCATTTATCGAGTTTGTACACTGCAGATTGTATGTTCTCAGTTATATTCGATAGTCTCTTGATACCATAGATTAAGGCTTTTAAGATTGCTCCAAGTTTTCTTTGATAATGTTTACAGTCTTAGGTTTTACACGTAGGTCCTCAATCTTGAGTTAGTTTTTACGTTTGATGTGAAGGATGGATCTTATTTTAATTTTTTATTAGTAAGTATCCAGTTTTGTCAGCATCATTTGTTCAAGAGGCTATCTTTCCCCCATTTCATGGGTTTCATCTCTTTATAAAAAAATCAGTTGTGTGTGGGTAAATGCCTTTACTTGTGGTCACTGAATTCTGTTTCTTTGATCTCTGTAGCTGTTTCTGTACTAATACCACATATTTCCTTAATGATGTTTTCTTTTTAAATTACTAGCTAATAAATGGCATATATTTGGTACAACCTTGTCTGAAGCCTAAATTTAGAAAGCTTAATAATACATATTTTTTTTAAAATACAGCACTGCAGAACAGCAGGGAGCAGCTTCTTCAGAACTGCCAAGCACATCACCTGCAGCAATTACTGCTATTTCGTCAAGATCAGTAATACACAAACCCTTCACACAGTCTCGGATACCTCCAGATTTGCCGATGCATCCGGCACCAAGACACATAACAGAAGAAGAACTTTCTGTCCTAGAAAGCTGTTTACATCGCTGGAGGACAGAAATAGAAAATGACACCAGAGGTAAGAAGCTTCCTCACAGTGTAGCAACTACCATCTCTAATAGATACGTATAATCGTGTTAAAATTAAGAAAGAGATTACCTATGGATTTCAATTTTAAGTATGAATTTCCCCCCTAGAAAGGATTTTATATAAGATTATCTATTCTGGCTTCTTATTTAATATCAGGTTTAGAAGGGCTGAAAAATTTTCAAGGATTGCTATGATGATTGACATAGCAGGTGGCCTTATTGCTAATTTAATACCCTAAATTGTGTAACAAACTGGTACTTACAGGTACTCAATTGGTGAGCTGTCAATTATAGGTCCCCTGTTGTTTGCACAATGACATTTAAATAATAATTAAAACTCTTTAGGTTTAGGAATTAGAAATATCAATACGTTAACTTTCTCTAACAGATTTCTAAATCTAATCTCTGAGCCATTCTGTAACAGACTTTTAATTGGCATGTCACCAGATAATAAAAATAAGAAGAGTGCCCTGAGAGAATTTGGTGTGTATGAGCATGAGCACGTACCTGTGCACATAAGCACGTAATGTGATGTCCTGTATAGTATCCAGCTATCTTCTCTTTGAAGGAATGTTCCTTTATTCAGAAGTTATTATCTTCTTGGCTTTTATTGTTTATTTTTCTATTAATCTGTTACTGATTTTACTATATGTTTCCTTACTAATATAACATCCTACTCTTATCTCCCATTTTACTGATCTATAGAAAAAGAAAAATCTACAAACCACTTTTAAGATTGGGATTAGATTCAAGGGTAATGATTTTTGAGGTTTACATGGCCAATTTGACTTTTTCTAGATACTCAGTATGTAAATTCTGAGCAAACCTGATTTAATAGGGTGGTGGTGATTGTGTACCATTGAGTCAGAACTGAAACATAGCTGACCCTCTGGTTGGTATTCAGAATCAGTTAACCAACCATGGGAGGAAATTGCCCATCCTTGTCTCTCAGAGCAGCTTGTGGATTCAAACCACATGCTTTTGGGATTGCAGCACAGCTTCTTGCCATTAGACCATCAGCCCTTAATCTAGTACTCTACAGCTGGCATTAATAAACTGTAAAGCTTTTTCTCTAAAAAGGGATTTCCTATGTTTTCATTAATTAAAGAAATGCTCATAAAGTGTAAGATACCTACTGGACACTGCTAGATAGAGAATGATAGTCTGCTAGTAAGGCAGATTCTTTTTTTTATTTTTTATTTTATGAAAAAGGTGGATGATAGGAAGTTATAGACACATTACTTTTTTCCCCTTAAATTGGGAGAAAAAAATATAGATGCAATATTTTTATTCCAGTATATTTATATTTGTGAGGAAAATAAAAAGTAGTAACACAGATAAACTTGGTAAAGGACCAACGTTTGTGCACTCAAAAAATTAAAGACTCAGAGTTGTTTGTCTCCATGGAAATCTTCAGTAAAAGGCAAAAGATTTATTTGATCTGAAGAGAAACCAGGTTATAGATGGCCATTTCTTAAAGAATGAATTGAGGTGCTTTCACTTCAAAATCATCAGTCTCAATTTTTGTATTCCAGTGTACTTTGTTGAACTAGAGAAGTTTAATTACATATATAGTCTATTTCTGTTAACGCCTATTTGCTTTTTTCCCCCTCTTTTTAAATTATACTGCCTGATCCAGGCTATAGTCTTTGCAATTGTGTGCTATGCATCAGAGAGTTGGACAGTGAATAGGGTTGATAGTAAGAGAATTGATGCCTTTGAGCTGTGGTGTTGGAGAAGAGTGTTGAATATCCCATGGACTGCTAAGAGAACAAACAGTTTTGTCCTGGAGAGGGTGAAGCCAGGATGCTTCTTGGAGGCAAGGATTCTGAAGCTTTGTCTGACATACTTTGGGCATGTTGCAAGGAGGGACCAGTCCTTGGAGAGGGTCATTATGTTTGGGAGAATGGAGGGATAGCACATGAGAGGAAGACCCTCAATGAGATGGATCGATTCAGTGATTTGGGGTAGTGAGAGTAGGTGTGTTGAAGACACAGGATAGAGCATAGGATAGAACACGGTTTAGGGCTCTTGTACATAGGGTCGCTATGAGTCACAAGCGACTCTATGGCACATAATTACAACTGCTAATGTCTGTTTCTACTGCTCAAGTTCTTTCAAGGACTGCAGACTTCAATGTGAATTGAAGCTCAGTATCAAGAAAACAAAGATTTTCACCACTGGGCCAAATGGCAGCATTATGATAGATGATGAAGAGATTGAGATTGTTTAAAATTTTGGTTTGTTTGGCTCTGCAGTCAACACTCTTGGCACCAGCAGCCAGGAAATTAAAAGATGTATTGCATTGGCAAAGTCTGCTGTCAGAGACCTCTCCAGAGTACTGTAGAGCTATGATGTCATTCTGGAGACTAAGGTGTGCCCGATACAGGCCATGGTCTTTGCAGTCACTTGCTATGCATCAGTGAGCTGGATAATGACTAGGGATGATATATGGAGAATTAATGCCTTTGAGCTGTGGAGCTGGAGAGAGCATTGAATATACCATGGACTGCTAAGAGAACAAACAGGTTTTTTCTGGAGAGGGTTAAGCCAGGTTGCTCCTTGGAAGCAAGGATTCTGAAGCAGCGTCTGACATACTTTGGACCTGTTGCAAGGAGTGATCAGTCCTTGAAGAGGGACGTCATGCTTGGGAGGGTGGAGGGACAGCGCAGGAAAGGAAGACCCTCTATGAGGTGGATTGATTCAGTGACTTGGGTAATGGGGGTATGTGTGTCTGAGACAGTGATTCTGGTACAGGATAGAGCAGTGTTTAAGACTGTTGTACATAGGGTCACTGTGAGTTGCAGGCAAGTCGATTACACATAACACCACCAATGCCTGTTTGTTTTTATGAAAACTGTCAAAATTGTCCTCTTTGATAGAGTTTAATGATTGACAATCACTAGTCTATACATGGCTTTTGTATTTTTATTAGACATTTTTAAGGATTTCTAAATACAAAAACATAGTAGTTCAATTTTTGTAGTTGTTAGGTGCCATCAAGAGGATTATAACTCATAATGACTATAAATGACAAAGATTTCTATAACGACAAAATCTGATCTTATCCTTTCCTGTGCCACTCATTCTTGCAGTCATTGTGCCAGTCCATCTGGTTGAGTGTCTTCCCCTTTTTTTTTCTGGCCCTCTACCTTTCTAAGCATAGTATCTCTCTCCAAGGATTAGCCTTTCCTAAGCAACATCCCCAAAGTTATGAGTGACAAACTTTGTTATTTTTAACTCCAAGGAACACTCTGGTCTAGCTTTCAAGACATACCTGTTTGTTCTTTTTTCAGCCAATGAGATATTGATAATGCTTGTTCAACATCATAGCTCAAAGGTATTCTTCTTCTGTCATCCTTATTCATTGTCTGGCTCTCTCTCAGATGAATGTTGTTGTTGTTAGGTATTGTCTAGTCAAGTAGAACTCATAGCAACCCAGTGAACAACAGATCTAAACCTTGTCTTATCCTGTGCCATCTTCATACTTCCTGACACATTAGAACTTATTGTGGCAGCCAGTGTGCCAATCCACCTTGTTGAGGGTCTTCCTCTACCTTTCTGGGCATCATCTCCCTCTCCAAGGGATAGCCCTCCCTAGCAACATGCTTAAAGTATGTGAGGCAAAATCTCATCATCTTTTCCTTGAAATAGCACTCTGGCTTCATTCTTTCCAAGACATATTTGTCAGTCCATGAGATGTTCAGAACTCTTTTCGAACACCACAGCTCAAAAACATCAATTCTTCTTTTGTCATCCTAGACAGTAGAGGAATGTGGGCAGTTATAGTAGTAATGGTATAGCCCAGACTGGAAGTCAGTTGAAATAAGGAGAAATAATAGCAAACATCCTTTAGTAATTGGAACATGGAATATACATAGCTTGAATGTCAGAAAACTAGAAATTGTGAAAAATGAAATGGAATACATGAACATTTACATATTATGCATTAGGGAGATGGAATGGACTAGCTTTGACTAGTTTGAATCAGATAATCATATGGTATACTGTGCTGGACCTGGAGATTGCTTCCCCACGCTTCAAGGCCCAGAGGTTGTTGCAGTGCTGCGAGTCCCTGAGGTTGCTGCTGCAACGCCATGATAGGTGGAAAGGAGATTGAAATTGTTAAATTTCTACTTTCTTGGCTCCACATCAACACTCTTGGTACTAGCAACCAGGAAATCAAAAGATGAATTTCACTGGGAAAAATCTTCTGTTAGGGAGCTCTCCAGAGTACTGAAGAGCAATAATGTCAGTCTAGAAACTAAGGTGTGTCTGTTCCAAGCTATGGTCTTTTCAGTTATGCATCAAGAGCTAGACAGTGAATAAGGATGACCGAAGCCTCTTAAGTTGAGTTGCTGGAGATTGAAGAGTTTTGTACATTCCATGATGGTCAGGAGAACAAACAGGTTTTTACCATAGAGGGTGAAACCCAAGTTTCTCCTTGGAGGCAAGGATTTTGAAGTTTTATCTCATATACTTTGGGCATGCTTCCATGAGGAGAAGGACATCATGCTTGGAAGGATGGAGGGACAGCGCAAGAGAGGAAGATCCTGTATGAGATAGATTGACTAATTGACTGGAGTAATGAGGACAGGTGTGAGACAATTAAATTGGCTCAAGATAAAGCAGGATTCAGAGCTGCTCTACATAGGGTAGCTATGAGTCACAAGTGACTGTGGCACATAAAACAATATACTACGCTGGGAAAGAAAAACAGGAGAAAAATGGTGTTGTGTTCATAGTAAAAAGTCAATTTCTAGGTCTCTCCTGAAATACAAGGTTGTGAGTGATAGAACATTACCATACACATACAAGGAAGACTATTTAATACAACTATTTTTCAAATATATGCTCTTCAGATGGCTAGCAGGTGACTGAAAAGGCTGTAGCGTGAATCAGACACACTTTAGTTCTCAAACTAAGTACTGTGCCAATAATAATTGGTCAACACTGAAATATTCCAGGATGTACTATCTGATCAAGAGAC